CGCAGCCAAACTGATTATAGCCAACACTGTTGTGAAGACAATAGAAACTGCCGGAGAGCAAGGCTCGTTTCCAACGTGGCTTGAGTTATCCATATAGATATCTTAACTCACAGGCTTTTCAGTACTTGCCCCGCGATTAGTAGTTTAACCTGAAAATGTTATTGAGATAAATTAATGAAGGTAGTTATCTAGTCATCAATGCAGAAAGTTTCCATTTTAATTTCCTTTTTTTTTTTTCGCTTTCTTTATTAGGATTGTTATGAAAAATATCAGCGTCATGAATAATTTGTATTTATTATTAAGAACAATGTTAGATCTTGTTTAAATATTAATAAATACAATTGAAAAGCCAGTTAATTACTGAAACTTTAAGATATAGTAAAAGTGACTCGACCAACGCAGAAAACCAGTCACTCGAATGTTTTAAAACAAAAGAATGAGGCAAGCTGAGTATGATATGGAAAAAAACTCGATTGAGAACGATGTTATCCGCCATAAGGCCGAAGGCCGAGGTTGATAAAACCCTCCGAGCTATCTGCCATTAATTCCTCACAAAAAATACGAGCTGAATATATATTTTGCGTATTTATGTATTGTTTTCCGTTCAGTGAGTGAGTTCTGCACTCTAGGCAAAACTTTTAGGCTGTCGCACCGCTTACTAGAAACGAGGTTGGGATCGGCATTGGTAATTGGACTATTGACAGTTCCCCATTTTTTCCAGAAGATCTTTGAAATCGAGCGCTTTGCGTTATGGCGGCCATCTTGGTTTCGAATGTTTTTAGTTTAGCCTGGGGATGAGTGTCAAATCTACTTAGGGGGCGGGGGACGGTTATAGATCCAAGATAGCCGCCCGTACCATTAAGCTCTCGATCCTGATGATCTAGTGCGTAAAAAATAGAGGACTGTGAACAGTCCAATTGCCAATAAAATCGGTCTTAAATCCGAGATTGTATAACGCCCACATCTTAAGCTCAGGGGGATCAAAGCCAATCAGAAACAGTGAAATATTTTAAATGAATGATAATGGCAGGGTACGATCTTAGTTCAAGAAAAGGCGTGAACGACCTAATTTAAATTTTACCCTGCTCTGATCGGATTTAAACATCACCAGGGCCGTAGCTAGGTTTCTTGTAACGGGGCACATTATCGCGAGAGCCCAAGGCACGAACCTTGTAGGGGGGTCTGGGGAAAATTTTCAGCTTGGAGCCTCCGAAACGCTATTTTCAGCACTAGTCATGAGATATGTCTCCGAAAAATCGACCTCGAATATGAAAATGGCAAACAATTGCAAGTCACTTTATAATCAAAATAACTGAGTCTAAAGAAAACAAATCCATCCACAGACTTGATGTGTCTATCTCAACAGGTCCGAGGGGGGCAGCTACCCCCCTTGCCTCTCCGCTAACTACGGCTCTGATCACGTAGTGTTTTTCTAAAGAATTCCAATGGACTATTATTATTGAGCTATTGCTGGGGTTTTGGCAAATGTCTGGGAACGTATATTTTTTCAGGGCGTCTGGAGGAGGACAAGACAATTAAGGCTAACACATTTGCTAAGAAATTTGGCTTTTTGATCCATCTTAACGTTAAAATTATATGATCGAGACATAGTCAAAAGAGGAGATTGCTTATGAAACCCAACAAATATCAAAGACGGAAATGACAGCTGTTGAGAGCTCCTTGACTCTGCACTATCTTTTGTTTCTGTTTACACATTTATTTACTCTCACCAGGCTGAATCAGCATCTCGATAGCACCTGAGGGTTCTTTATTGATCATGCAAAATTCAGGTGAGACTGTGTGTACAGTTTTTATGATAAGGAAGAAAATTAAAACCGCTTACAACAACACAAAAAGAGAAAAATCTATCGGGGCGCATGGTCATTGCATATCATAAGTCATATGATTTAGATAACCAACAAATAATTACCATTATGATAATTGGGGTTACACGAACACAATATCCGTATTGTAAAAAAATGCATGCGTTGTATGGCAGCCTTCGTGATTAAAAAATCCCTTTTCAGAGAGTTCGATTTCACTCACGTCGAACTATCATAAAAAAGTAAAGACAGTACCCACCTACAAGAGATTATCGGCACGGAGTTTTCCAAGTCAATTATTCTGCTGTGTATCAAAGAACAGCTCTTTGGCGATTAGTTGTATTTGAAACGAGTTGTGCTGTTGCTTTGCCAAGACCAACACTGCACTTCAGTGCAACATTTCAAACGGGTCTGTGTCATTGCAGATATATATATTTGATTTTGTTATTGTATTTGTCATTAAACCGAATAACCTTGAATTGATCTTGGGGCACCCTGCTTACTTTCTGGAATACATCATACTCACCTTTGCTAATAAAATCACCACTCACTTAAGTTGCTCATGTAGAAACGAGGGATAGAGGCTTGACGCATTTCAAATCTATTATCTGTCTGACGCCCTGAGTTATAAGAAAGCAATGAGCGAGAACAAAAATTTTTTTAATATTAAGCTAAAATATACGTCACAGTTATAATAATGTATACATACAAAAAAACTCTTTGAACCGCGTCTTCCTTTTAGAATTCGGACATGATTAATTCCAGTCGGTGGAAAATGTTCAGTAATCGAAATATTACATAAAATAAATGTTTTTTTAAGCTTCTCATGTTGTTGATTTTACAAAATATATAATATGTTAATATTTTTCCTTTACCCATGATTATCTGTTCTCGGGCTACTAACGCCGGTCTTGTCCAGCCAATAACGAGTATTGATGAAAATAAATTGCATGCATTTTGTAAAACGAACTTTAAGGCCTTCATTTCAGTTCGAACTACTTCTATACAAAAAACTATTTCTAATATTATACTCCCTTTGTTATTTTGTGGTTACCAAAATGTCAATATTTTTTCATTTTAATTACTTTTATACTCCCCGAATGATGAATATTATGCATCTTTCGCAACGTCCAATTGTATCACGTATTACTATTATAATTCTACCTACTCCTCGCACGTAAGGGAAATTCGATGACAGCTCTTTTCAAATAGTTTCTTTTTCTACATTGTGCTCGGTACGCGAGGATAATTCCAAGTAATACAAATCATATTTAGCCCTGAATTAAAGACTGAGGGTTTCCTAGGGAGTTTTTAACAGCCGAAGGTATGTGTGACCTGAAGCAACTGTTGTACACTTGATTAAGATTGGACGAACCCTATTATTAGTCATTTTAAAGACGAAAAAGCGAAGACAATCGTTTCAGTCGGTAGCAAGGCCACTTCTTCCACTGCTTCTCACGATGACGTAATTATAATTTTTCAAACTTGGGTTCGTGCGCTGTTATCAAAGGAAACAGGCTTTTCAAATATCCAGACTTGCATATATCTTTAAAGAAAACAGGTGTATGCAAACAATGTTCATTAAGACTCTGTAGTTTGATAGCGTAATAAAATTAAAGACACGCCAAGTAGCTGAAACTTAGGAGGCCTTGCTTATGCCCATGCCGATACAATAACCTTTCACAATAAGGTATGATAAAACTATGAAAACACACAATATTAAACCGAACGTAAAAAAAGAACAGTCACTCCCCAAAACTCGATTATTCTATAAAAACTATATTTTAATCAATTTTGAATATTCTTTTGTTAGAGTTAAACAACACCAGAGGTTTATCGCCGAGAAACTGCCTTAACCCTTAGCCAAAAAACCCAATTAAAATGTCTTTAAGCTTGTTTGTTGAAATAATACAGTTGAAAATAATCGAAGTACACTTGGAAATTGAATTTGCGCGCACGCTAAATATAATTTCCCTTTTGCCTTGCTAGTAAGTCTAGAGTTCATGTCGCTAATCAGTATTTCCTTAGCAAAGTGCGAAACTTTTTACAGAAATTGAATTTTCTTTACCTGAGCAATTTCAATTCTTGGTGGAATATAATTCTCTGTGTTGTTACATCAGGGTCTCCAATAGAACATCCCCTCATCTGATCCCGACCCAAATTTTTGCCCAATCCCGTAATCCCGATCATAGTTATTTTCGACATCCCACTCGGATCTCGTGCATGCCTTTAATGCAGAATCTCCCCTTCAAACGTGAACCCTAATCCTGGCCTACAAATAAGGTAAATCTCGTAAATCCCAAAAAATCTATTGAGGACCGCCCTGTTATGTCTGCAATACTAAAATGCTCTGAAGGAGGTCAAGATGAGAATCCTACTGTAATATCGATCGGAAAACCGGAAAAAGTTCCGAATGCTCTAATGTAATGACGAACTCACCAGAGAAATGACACAAATAAGATTTAAAGGTGTGACTGCAGTAAAACCTATTAGGTATACATAATCATGACGCTTGCTCAAGGCAACATTTCGCTCCAATCTCATTGATTTTTTGGTCTTGATTGGTTTGCCCTGTGTAATGTGAGGAAATGTAATCTATTGGACGAGGTCGGACCGTTGCACCATTTTTAGTCAGCGAGTATCAAACTGGCAAAAATGGAACACGAAATGTACCCGTCACTACAGGATTTATTTTCTCTGATTCAAAACTCTTTCATATAAAGCTGCTCTAAAAAAGGACGTTAATAACCAGGCTTAAAACGTGACTTGAATTTTCTTTATAACTTATCAATCTTAAAACGAGTCAATATTGAAATCATTTGTATATGTTTTAGGGTCATCATGAAGGTTCTTGTAAGTTCATACAACTTACCCTTTCCGGCTGAAAGGATGTAGGAAATAAAATAAATAAAACATATATATCAACCGAAATTGAGCGCCAAAGTCCTGCTTTCTAAAATTAAATAGTTGTGCGACCTTTTTTAACTAGAAGAAGGCTCACTCCAACATGAGTTGCATCAAGTAGATATTCTATTCTATCTCATAAGTAAATATTAAAGTGCCTTCTCACAAATTGCTTTTTGGTTAACGTCTGTTTCTTCAACACAGGCATGGTTAACAATTAAAACAACAAACTAAAAGCATTTTTGGTCGCTCAATGGGCTTGAGAATCGTAAGCTAGAGACCAACATTGTCACGGTTATGGGATTGATGACTGTGCGTTAAAGGCTGTGAAAAATGTAGTCACTTATCATGATCAGTAGTCCTAAGGGGACAGCAACCCGAAAATTAAGACATGCTGTACCAAAAAACTCAGCAAAAACCCTATCAGAATGAAAATTTCTTAAGAGGTAGTTGTTCAGCTGCACTGACTAGTAGTCACAAACTTAAAAACTTGGAAGTATTGATAATTCTTCATTTTAGATAATTTGTTGTAATTACATCACTTGCAACCAGTGATGAAGCGGAAGAAAGAAATGGTAAGTTTTTAGATATTGCTTGTATATTATTTCAGCGCGGTTTTGTACATTTTGTACAAGAATGAGAAACATGCAACAGAACAAAACTGTCATGAAAGTGTTTGTATGGATTGTGAGTGCCTTTTTCATCTGTTGGGCATATATTGTACTCTAAAAACTATTTACATCTTTGCGTTTTACTAAAGATTCATGCACGATTTTTGCTAGTTTGTTTTTCTACATTTTTTTCGCGTTGATGAGCTTCTGAATCTTCTAATCACCCTTAGTTTCAGACGTCCTTCAGCCGAATGACAGACGCATTTGATTCAACAAGGGAAAAAAAGTAGAATCCCTTGATACCTGATACTTGGAGGGATTAAAATAGTTGCCTGTACATTATTTCAGCGCGGTTTTGTGCATTATGACAGAAGCCCTATAAATCCTGTAGTTCAATCCCTCCAAGTATCAGGTATCAAGAGTTTCTACTTTTTTTTCCTTGTTGAATCAAATGCTTCTGTCATCCGGTTAAAGGACGTTTGAAACTCAAGGTGATTAGAAGATTCAAAACCTCATCAACCACCTTCTTCGTTTACAGGTCGATCGTTTCATACAAACTTAAGAGGGAAGTCATCCTGACCAGTGCTCAGCGGACGGTAATAAACCAGAAAGGAAGCATGAACAACACCAGTTCCTATGGTTTTGAGCACCTTTCGGAATGTTCTTCCTCAGATTCCACAATACTTACATCCACTATTTCAATTGTTAGTATTGTGGCATTCGTCGGCAACACCCTGGTGATACTAACTTTTCTACAAAGCCCCACCCTAAAGACGAGCACTAACTATTTTATAGTCAACATGGCGATTTCTGATCTTCTGTCATCCTCCACAAATTGGCCCCTCTATGCAACTGAAGGAGTCCAATACAGCAAACCTGCGATAGACGGCTCAACGGCTGTCTTTGTTTGTAAACTGGGCTTTTATTTCAGAACTGTGTCTCAGGCTGTCTCAGTTCAAAGCCTGTTACTAATCGTTGTAGACAGATACATAGCTATCGCGCTCCCGTTTAAGTCTATTTTAGTCACAGCCCGACTCAGAGCTGCTCTCCAGTTATTCACTTGGTTGTTTGCGCTGTCAATAGCTTCACCATGGGCATCGTCAAGTCAAATTATTCAAGAAAATCATCAAACGTTTTGTCGGAGTTTCGCTTTTTGGGGCAAGAAGGAGCAATTTATCCTTTACGTAGGAGGATTTGCAATATTCTACTGTGCTCCACTTATTTCGACAATAATCCTCTATTCACGAATCATGAAATGCTTGAGACAAACAAGACCAGTAGAGACTGAAGAAGAGGAACGCACAAGAATGAGAAACATGCAACACAACAAAAATGTCCTGAAAGTGTTTGTATGGATTGTGAGTGCCTTTTTCATCTGTTGGACTCCGCTTCATCTATATATTGTACTCCAAAAGCTATTTACATCGCGTTTCACCAAAGATTCATGCATGATTTTTTTCAGTTTGTTTTTCTACATTTTTCCCTCCTTAAACACAATAGTTAATCCCATAATTCTTTTTGCGTATAGTTCACGATTCTCGAGTGCTTTGCGTAACCTGTTCGCCTGTTTTACTTGTGGACCTTGCCTATGTTGCAAAGACAGGCGTATTGTACCCAACAGCAACTTGCGAGGATAGAAGCAATGTATATTAATAGTATTTGTCATGGGTTTATTCCTCCGCGTGCCTTGTGCATATTTGGAAATAAGTTGCATCTTTAGTTGTAAATAATTTTACCTGACTTATCGTTTTACCTTTATGTCAAAAAAAGCCGCAGGACATGCTTGCTTCATGACATATCCGTACATGAATTTTGACACAGAATCCTCCCTTTTCAATTTTCTTTTCACATTTTCTTGTTAATATTCTATTTTATCTTACGTTTATTATTATTATTATTAAAATTATCATCATTATTATTATTTAATATTATTAATATTATGACAGTATGGGTGTCATATAGCAACAACCACCAGGGACGTCGGACGTGACCCTGGCGCACTAAGGAACAGCCTCAGAAAAAATATATAATAATAATAGTTACAAGTATACCTGGATTTTTGAAAACCGGGTTAGCAAAAATATCAACTCATTCTACTACTTGGCAATTTAAAACAACAAAACTCATTCAAAGGCCGATTAAAAGCCTTTATCTGACGCCGGGCAGTAAGTTAGTGGTCCCTAGAAGCATTCCAACCAGTCCAAATTTAAAATGATGCAAATTTTAGAACATTTCTTCAGTAAACTGACTTCGCGAAGTTTCAAACCGGTGTCATTTCAGTCTAGAAATTTTTACGTTGAGTGAACTGCAACGAAAGAGTGCCTGGTTAAGGCTTACATAACAACTTAAATAGTTAGGAAAACACTACTTTTCTCGCGGTTCGTTAAGCAAAACACCGACGAAAAAATATTGATGGCTGGCACAGAATATTTTGGCCAAACCGCAGTTCAACTACGCCATCACATACCTGTCAACACCATGCGGAAATCACACAATCACACACTTTCGCAGCACTGATAAGACTATCCACAACCACGCATAATCTTCTCTCGTTTACCATAAGAGAAGTATCATCGAATAACTCGGAATAACTCAGCCTATTGCCACATAAAAACTTCTGGACTTTTCTCTTACGCTCGTCTTATTCAAGTTCCCGGATGTAGAGTCACACGGTCGGTGGATGACCTTAGCCTTGCTTTCACACTTGCCTAGTCCCTGTACGGCGTCTTTCCAGGTCCTCTCGGTCAATGCATTTCGGTGACGTATCCGAGACGAACGGCCGGGAGACGCCTCAAAAACTTTCCCGGACCACGTGACCCGAAACGCATCGGCCGTGCATAGTAATGAGGCGTAGGGACTAGAAAACTTTCACACCAGAAAAAAACCAAGTTTGGCCAGGGTCAGAGTTCACCGGCAATTTTGCTCTCACCTAATTCATTTGACTCCTAAGAGCCTGTTCCCGAGACCAAAGACTTAGTGGTCGCCTTAGAAAAGCGAACAATATCGTACCTTTCTGTCTCAGCCCGGATCAGGGTGATTGATCCGTTTAGCTGAAATGAAACGAGAATATAATACGATATTGGACGATGCAGACTCTGCGAATCGTAATAACTTTGTCCCTTCTCAGAGCTTTACATGATGTTCTCCGGGAAACTTTTCTCAGGGTGACTAATATAAAGCTAAACTGCTAAACGGCACCGAAACCGGCTTTAGGCGCGCGCTGATTTCAAATAACTGTCACTTGTGTTAAAGAAAGAATTGTGGATAGGGAAAAAATAATCGGGAGAGGGGGCGGGGGTAAGATAGTCATTCTGTCTACATATCCACTTCTACACAAATCCCTAGCCACAAAACAAGCAAAAAAAACACCGACATAAGCAAACAACACAGTAAACATATGTCAAGCTATTAGACAGAGGAAGTTGCGAAAAATTACAAAATGTTTGCTAACCCGGTTTTCATAACTCCAGGTAGAAGTGTATATAAATAAATAGACAAAATGGTAAAAAGATAAATTTAAGAACATTCTACAACTAGTAATGCTAAATGTCCAAGTCTCTAGGTTTCCTTAACCCCCGTTTATAAGATTAAAAAGGTATATACATGTCCTCCATGATTAAAATAAGGTTTGTAATATGTTCCAACAACTTTAAAAGTCCGGGCAATGTTTAAACGACTCGAGATGATAGGTCTCTGCTTTCTCTTTAACGCCTCTTTGCATTTGGTTCCTAATAATTGGCTAAGGGACCCCTCCATAGAACTAGACCATCCTCCCAAGACATATATTATGATTTTATATTGTGTTATCCTGTATCCTTTGAACTGTAACTTAAGCTCCCAGCGTAGGGGACCATTGATACTTCAACACCTTCTCCTCGTCTTTCTTCTCTAGATTCTGAATCCAAGGGCAGCTCATTTCCAGAGTTTTCACTGTCTTCGCTTGATGTGTCCACTCTTTTGGTCCTAACTTCATTATATTCCGGAGACTGGTGTCGAAGCCGACCATGACGGTTGTGTTTCAATCGTTCTGTTAAAACTGCTCCGCCTTCTTGGTCCCGAATATGGACATTTCTCACAAAATAATAATTCAGTAATGCCTAAAAACAAACCGAAATATCCTGCGAAGCGCTCAAACAAAGAAAAATGAAGCGTACACGCGAAGGAAGCTCACAAACAGACGAGGATGTCTTCGAGGACGACAGGCATGACTGCCCAAAATGCAAGTCAACAAATACTCGTCTCGCTGAAATTGATGAGAAGCTTGAAAGACTATTAAAGTTAACAGAGGAATTTGAAACCTACAAGAGCCGAGTTAAATCCCTCGAAGATGAACAGAAAAGCATGCAAGAAAGCCTCGGAAGCTAGATAACATTGCTGAACAACAGAAGACAGTCATCTAGAAATTTTTAGCGGTCCTCAAGTAATAGAAAATTCTAGGCAATATTTGCTTCTCCGAACAGATATTTTACAGAAAACAGTGGTTAGGTGCCCCTGAGAAGACCACTGAAGCTTCACTTCAACGCGTCCAACGTGAACTCGCCAAATTACAGCGCCTTCATATTAAATTAGAGTGTCACAGCCCCAGAGGTAATTTGAAATTCTCTGAAATAAAAGAACGCGAGCATGAATCGAACGAAGACACCAAAGATTTATTGTGAAAATTTTTACGTACCGACTTAAAGATCGCTAAAAAGGACGAGGAAAGTATTCAGTTCAATACAGTGCACAGGGTATCATCTCGTCGAGTATCTTCTGACACTACGAATTCCAAGCCACGACCGATTATTGTCAAGCTTTCCAGCTTCCACGACGAAGAGTTTGTTCAATCATTCATCAAAAACCTCACGAAAGGCCGCAATCTTGGAATTTCCGACGACTTTCCAAAGGAAGCAGAAGAAATGAGGAAAAAGCGGTACCCAGTATTAAAAGCCGCCAAGCAAGAAAAGCGTACTGCATTTTTCAAGGTAGAAAGGCTATTATTATAGATGGGTCGCTTTACCGCGGCCCAGAGACAATTGCTTTCCCTCTCTACGGACATTTAATGGACGTATAAATTAGCTCAGAGCATTTATCAGGCTGATTTTTGTTATTATTCACGGCCATGTTTTAGGGGCTAGTAGTGTGCTTTACAAACCAAATTAGCTCGATGCGCAGTCAGTCAACGCCGCTCAAATTCAGAGGTAAGTAATGGAGTTTTTGTTCGTATGTTTCGTGTTTTTGTTTTCTTTTTTGTTTCGTCTTAATATTTGAGCAGTCAATTTTGCTTCCCTTCCCTAAAGGGGAAAGCGATCCAGGCCATATAAATTTATACTTTTGTCTATGGATTGTGCCACACGTGCAAGGGAAACTATTTCATTTTATAATTGAGCAATAAATATGTCACGGCATAAGCTATTGACACTGAATGTAAGAGGGCTAAACAGTTCTAGAAAAAGACGACAGGTTTTTCGACGGTTGCACCTGCAACGATCGGACATTATTTTCCTCCAAGAAACTTATTCTTCAACGGGAACTATAAAACGATGGGAGGCCGAGTGGGGTGGGAAGGTTGTAGCTAGCCACGGTACAACTCACAGTAAAGGAGTAATGGTCCTGTTTAAACCAATCTCAATGTCCCTATCAACAAAACCTTAGCCGATAAAAATGTTCCAGTACAATATTATTCACAATATTCTGTGCACTAAGAGCTTATTATTTAAAATGAAGAAAGAAGACTCCCCACGCTGCCCTTTTTGTCCAGCAGATCATACCATCGTATATCTTTTCACTGAGTGCGCGCAAGCCACTTTGTTCTGGAAGGCCTTTCTGCATTGGGCCTCGCGCATGGTAATCTCAAAATCATCGCTTTCAATGGAAAAGTGAGCGGGGAGGAGAGGGGAGGGGCGGGGAAGAGGTAATAAAATTTTTTGAAGGTGTTGTTTTTGTTGCCAGTACCACTAAAATACATGAAATTCGAAGTAATTTAATCGTATTTACTCATTGGTGGCTTTAGAAGCCAAGCGTTAAACTCGAAAACAGATGATTATGGGCTAAATGAAAACTGCACGCGGTCAGCAACATATATAAGAAGCTAATTTAATCACGAGCTAGGGAAACAAATTCATTAAAGATGTAAAATTTACCGTTAAGAGGTTTTACGTAA